ACAAAACTTCATATTCTTTTACACATACAGTATACGTTTTGCAATATAATGCAAAATATATTGAAAAGAAACTTAAAAAATTGAAATATTATCTCTGCTTCTTTCATACACTATAAATGTTGCTTTATTATAAGAGAAAAGAAAATAGATTGACTAAGATAAAATAAGGAGTTGCAATTTGATTGACGATTATTTTCTGTATAAAGTCGAAAAGATGTTTTTGGTTGCCATTGTTTTCTCACTTTCTATGAGAATACAAAGAAAGAAAATTCCAGTACGGGGTTGTTGTGAAGATAAGTTAGTATATAGATAATCACACATCGTAAAAAATAATGGAGTCGGATAGAACGATCGTTCAAGTTATGAATAATGAGAAAATGTTTCCTGCTCTACCAAATATCATTCAAAGATGGGTAGATGCTTAAACATGGATTAAATAAAATTTTGAACTAAATGATGTTTGTTAAAAAGTACTCTAAAATAAAAATAATTATTTACATTTAGATTATTTGTCTTTCTTCACGCTCTTTCAACTATAAAAGATATATTTGAATTTTGCCTAGTCAAAATGAAAATTTCGCCTTTGACTGAAAACATATCAGACAAAATTGAAATTTCAATTCTGCCTAGTCAAATTCAAATTTTAAGTTTGACTAGGCAAATTTCAAATTTAACGGAATTTTAATTTTGCCTACAACATATACATGTATATTTTTCCCTTTCTTTTCTAATGGATATTCCAGCGTCATCATATATATATATATATGATCGCTTCTATCAGTGTGATGTTATCCTTCCAGTCGTCTCTTCTCTCGGTTCACTCTACACCATTTCTTGAAGGTATGTATTTACATATTTCTATATATATAATAAACTTGATATCTTCATATGTATTTTAGTCTACATTCACTACGAGACGTGACAGCAAGTTTCAGTAGTAATTTCATAATCTAGTAACATGTCCAATAAATCACATATAAATGATGACGATGAAGCACAGGCAATAACTTCTGACAAACCAAATCAATATGAAATACGTCCAATGAATGAAACTGATCTTTCGATAGTCGTTGAAATTGAAAAAATGGTCTGGAGCGATGAATCATGGGATTTGGAAGATTTTTCCGATTTTTTTAATGATCCATTGTCAAGTTGTTGGATACTTGAAAATGCCAACAGTGCACAATCAATAGTTGGATATGGTTTACAATCTCTACCAGATAATAAATCACTAGGGGTGGCGCGAGGCAGCCAACATTGGAGGGGTGTACCGAAATTTTTTGAATTTTTGAGGCGTGTAGCATTATCTTTGGTGAAAAACCTAAGAAGATTTGTCGCTTTTCTTCAGCAAAAAATAGAAATTTTTGAAGATTGGGGGGGGGGGGTGTTACACCCTCGACATCCCCCCGGTCGCGCCACCCCTGTGAATCACATATAACAAATTTAACTCTTCATCCTAGTCAATGGGGACGTGGCTTAGGTGGTCTACTTTTACGTCATATGATAAAGCATGCTCGTCTATCTTGCGCTGTGAGAATGAGTCTTGGTGTTAATACATCAAATGAACGTGCATATAAACTATATTTTAATCATGGATTTCGAATATCTAAACTACTTCCGAAATATTATTCTGGAGGTTCCGATGCTTATTGTATGATA